GAATGGGTCTGTAGGTTCTTGCGTTACCTACCAGTCAATAAAAGGAAAGAGGAAAACCAGGCTGAAAAGACGGGAAACATGTTATGCAAATGCCTGCTGTAAACCTGACACCTTACCAAGACGTTAAATTAACTTCCTTAACACTGAGCGTTTACATAGTTTGCTTCTGTGTCAGGTTTAACCTTCTCTCCTGCCTCTTTTTGCTTCCTCAGTACTCATTTGTTTCCTTGAGGAACCGTGAGGTGTGCTACCATCTCCTCCAAAGTGTCTGCTCAAATGCACAGGTACTATAGGTGCTCCCCTCAGTTTGCATGCATGTAACAGCAATTAATTCTTAAAGAAAGGGCTTTTTTTTCAACCAATGTTTCTGTGTCTGTGTAAAGCACCAGGGGAGTCCAAACAGCAGCCCTCATCTCTCCTCTGGAGAGAACGAAGCCGATCATGACATGGTGAGTGGGGATCTTGCTATAGCTGAATGAAAATGAGTGTGTGATGCATGAAAACAGATGATTTAACTGTTCTGCTTCCATGTCCTTGTCTGCAGGTCTCCAGTCAGTCCAGTTTTGAGGACAGCATTGATCATGATCTGACCAGACAAAACAGAATTAATCTTGACAACGGCTTCCCTCTGTTTTCCAGTGAAGGTGAGAGAAAGATGGAGGAGACAGACAGTGAAGTGTGGAACTGAGTAATCACTGCTAGTTAATGTTTTTTTATTGGCTTGTGCACCAGAGGAATAATGTTTATCATTTTTCAATAATGACTTCTATTGAAAATGGCGTTTATTACTAAGCTGAAATATTTTAGCAATGCCACTGCATGTGACAAGGGTATTGACATTTTATTTTTTCAGGTCCCTCAGGATGCAGCTCCACTCGTCAGAGCAGCTTAATAGATGAAGATGACAGAGGTCTGTGTGGGCCCCACACAAACAGACACACAAGTACTGTACTATCTACTCAACTTACTCAGAAGTCATAAAGTGTCATTATAGAATAACGAGTTGACAATTTTTGTCTTGACCAGCTGACTCATGGGTTGGGTGGGTCATCGAGATGGTCGCGCCGTTCTTCTTCCTCCGAGAAATAAGGAATCTCAGCGTTCTCTTCTACATCTACATGATGCTGTGAGTATTATCATCTCTCACAGGTTGTGCTCCATCTCCAGTTTTATGTTACAAAACTACATTGATGCAACTACAGCACTTAAGGCACATCACTGTTTTCATTTTATGTTACCTTATATATCTGCTTCATTATTATTCAGAGATGAATACACAAATTTTCTTCCCCACTACATTTATTTAGTAGGCAGTTACTTTACATACATATAAAGCGAATGCTCACTTTATACATTGTAGATTATAAAGTGGCTAAAATAAGCTCCACCTCAACCACAACAACAGTAAAATGTTGTATACACTTTAATGCATCCATAATATGAATATAATAATATAATATATTACAATATAACAGTTGAAGTAAACAAGTTGTTTACTTTCGATACTTGAAGGTTTTGAATGCCAGACGTTTACTTGCATTGTGGTTTTGCTGCTTACTGAAGTAAAGAATCTGACTACTTCTTCCTCCACTGTCCATCTCTCTGCTGCTTGGTACACAGGTGTATATTTCACTGCTATTGCTGTGTTAAATCTGTTAAGGGAAAACTGGTGAAAGACGACCCTGTAGGAATGTAAACATAGATGTTAAAAATAGGTGTAAGGGATTTTTATTCCTTAAGCTGGGACTTTCAGACAACTCTCCCCTCAATATCGGACACACACTGGGAGGCTCAACTGAGGGACCCCCCAACATATACTGTACATCTCAAAAATGCTGCATCTAAAAAAATCTTTTGTTTTTTCGTAGAATTCTTTGCAGATCCAACATAACTTTATTGAAACACAGTGCAGATGTGCATTATCATATGTTGACTTTTTTGGATTTGCTTGAAGCTCTCAAGGAAAAGAAAAATATGTAATCCTTGAGACAACTCAGTTATAGAAATATTTTCACACAATGTTCACTCCGGCTCCACACAGATAGAATTTACTGATATCTATTGTTAGGACTGAACAGTATGTACCCATCTCAGACTGTGCGCTCAGCTTGCGCTTTCACTTTCTGAGTGAAAATTCACTGTTGTGGAAAACTGTAAAAATCCACGGCATTCAGGACATTATGGTGTGTGTTTGCAGAATTGTGTTGCTGCTGTTGGCGTCTGGGTACATCGGGCTACGGATCACAGCACTGGAGGAGCAGCTGAACTCTTTGGGAGCCCTGGCTGAGTTGTCTTTTAACCACAGAGAGTGAGTGGTCACACAAACGTAAAAAAAAAAGGAAAGGGAAGACTGTCAAGAGAAACGCACAGAAGGAAGTCCATTGGGGAAATTACTTAGATGTCTTAAACCGGTTTTGGCGACTTTTAAAACCATCACTTGCTGATCAGATTAGACTTTAACAGAGTGGTTCTGCAGGTTCACAACAGCAATGGGGACAAAAGATAACTGAATACATTCCAGCAGAGTCACACCCACTCTGTAAGTATGTGTTTAAAACTGTACAGACAGGTGACAGATAAAAGGAGAAACCAACATGAAGCATCTTGGTCAGGTGTTGGGCCACCATGTGCCAGCGTCAGTCTTCCTTGACGCTGATTCTACAAGTGGAGAGTGCTGTCTAACACATTGCTCCAAAATCTCCCATAGGTGACTTTGATGCATAACATATGATTCACATCATTTTCATACTCATCAAACCACACGGTGACCCCTCGATGGGGGCACTGTCGTCCTGGAGGAGACCATTTCCATCAGAATAGAAGTGTTTCATCATAGGATAAAGGTGATCACTCAGAACAACTTTGTATTGATTGGCAGTGACCCTTTCCTCTAAGGGGACAAGTGGAACCAAACCAGGCCAGCAAAATGCCTCCCACACTGTAACAGAGCCAACAGATCCCCTCACTGTAGGGGTCAAGCATGCAGGTCTGTGCCTCTGAAGACCAGTGCCTCTCGGTTTTGCACCACTGAACCTTCAAGTGTTCATTCATCTTTGTAATGAGGGGTTTATTCACTGCAACCCTACTATATTATCCCTCGCTATGTAACTGTAGACAAACTGTTCAGTCTGATCACATCCTGCATTGACAACCTCGCTAAGAGTTGCTCTTCTGTTTTTCCCTTACACACGAGCATCACGGTCATCACGTGCGCTGTCAACCACACTTTCCAATTTGCTGCCTTCCGATAGATCTAAATGCAGATGTCACTTTAGTCACTCTTTAGTTCCTATAGAAACACTAAAAATAGAAACACAGTTGAGCAGTCTTTGTGACTGAAGCTCCTGCCATCCATGCCCCAACAATGAACCCTCTTTCAAGGCAGCTCAGGTCTTTTCCTCTTGTCATCTTGATTGATCTTGACATTTTTATACATGATGCCACAGAGCATGATGGGATGTTAAATGCTTATTTGTACCATGCAGTGCAGCTGCGAGCATCTGCATTACTCATGTTTCTCCACTCATTTATTCAGATTTTTCCTTTAATTTGTCACCTGTCTGTATATGTTAACATATGCTTTTACAACGTGAAGTTATATGTTTAATGTAATATTTATGATAGTTTAATGTTGTATGTATATATCCTCCAACCTTGTCCTCTCCTCATGCCTGCTTCTTCTTCTTTGCAGGTACCAAGAAACGTAGCCAGTGGCAGAGAATTGTGACAAAAATCCTTTCAGGAACTCATGCAATGTACCACTTTATTAAGATCCTACACTGAACCCTGTCTAGACAGACTCCCAAAAGCATCTTACCACTGAGACTCTGTTCATTTGACATGTAGTACAATATGTTGCACATATTAGTTCAGTCACAGTAGTAAACCTCTGTGTTAGTGCAATGTCATGCATGTGATGCGAGTCAGCAGTAAGATGCTTTTGGGATGTCTAAACCAGGCCACACATGGTGAACTACATGGATGACCGACTGTGCTGGCAGAGAATTTTCTGTTAGGCATGCACTGATTCTCTGCTGACAGATCAAAAACTGAAGTCAGGCTCTCCTGCACTGAGCCATATGGAGGCATCCTGCTGAAGCCATGTTTATTTCCTGGCCAGTAAACAGCTGAGCTCAGCTTACAGAGGTTGCTGGAGTCTTGACCATTAGTTTCTTGGATCAACACAATCTACAGCAGTGAGAAAACAACAGGATTGATCTTAACAAGAAGATGAAAGAAGCATTTTGTTGTTGGTTGATTTGAAATTGATTGTATATTTTGAATTTGAGGTTTAATTTTGTGTAATTTAACTACTGGAGTCTAGTGTTACAGAGAAGGACGGTTGATGACAGATATCAGCCAGCAGGGGGCAGTCACTTCCATTAAACCTGATTTATACATGAGATACCAAGACAGGATTTCACTGCACCTGAATAAGTTCAGGAACTGAAATTTCCTCAGAAAATAAATGTTATAAAAATTTTGCAACTGACCTTATGGAATATCAATCATGCTAATCAATACTGCAGAATTAGATACATACACATTTGGGCCAAATGATTTCCATGCCTTTAAATCAGTTTTCATCAGCAAACATTTAGTTAATTCTGTGTATACTTGAAAAGTACATATGTGATGTCAAAATACCTGTGATGGTATATAAATGATTGTATGTAAGCTCTAATATTGCGTGAATTCAAAAAAATACACTGGCTATGTTCAAAACTGATATTCACCAAGTGCATTAAATTATTTATGAAACTATTTTCCAAAACTTTTCCAGGCCTGGAAAATCCCACGTTTTAAATGTATTCGTTTTCAAATTTGTCCAGGCTTTTTACAGCTGTATTGATTCCAGCCAATGGTAAGATAGCTTGCATTATTTTATGTATTATTCAAAACCCAGTGTCAGTGCTGTACAAATCATGATGTACATTAAAATATTGCAGTTTTATATTTTTGTACATAAGTGATCTTTTTATTATTTTGTAGTCCATAAAAAGGTCAAGATTCAGTCCCATGAATTAATTTCATTACATCATATTCTCAGTTCAAAAAAGCAACATAAAATTACAAATAATAATACAAAGAATAGAATAGGTAAGTACAGTAACCATATAAACAGCCCACTAATATGGTCTAGCCCCCCAACCACCCACCCGCCCACCACTGTCCCACTCAAACTCTAGCACAAAACTCATAACAATACATCAGTTAGTATCAGCAATAAAAAAAATTCAAATAAACGTCCCGTTTTTTTGTTTTTTTTTTAAAAGCGCTTCAATGTTCCAATGCCATGAGTTCAGCTTTATCCTCACACAGAATACATAATAGAGATAACGTCCCACCCCGTCATTTGCTCGGCAAAACACAATAGACATGCATACAGTTTTCACTGTTCCACCCCCCCCACCCCCATCAATAAACATTCAGGGCCAGAGGATACAATGTACGTCAACCATAGTGGTGCATCAATAAAACGGCAAATTCCTACCCCGTTTCTTGAACCAAACCCCATGAATGAAAAGTGGATCCAGTGGTTTCCCTGATAATACGACCTGTCCAGGAAAAACTGAGGCCTACTTCTATTTTCAGAGAAAAGCGATAGCTTTCTCTAATTCTTCTGACAGCTCAGATCCCTGGTTCAAGATGGTAACAGATTTTCATTATTTACATAATCAGAAACACAAAGCACAGGATGAGATTGGAGAAATTCCCTGTTCAAAATGATGACAGCAAGCAAGTGGTGTTTGGTAGCCTTTCCACCGCTTACTAAGACCCTCTCGCACTCCCAAAATGGAGTAATCAGATCAGTGCTAGTTCAGTACATGTTCCCTTTAACAAATCGCAGCTACTATCACTGAAACTGATGGGTCTCCTGTGCAGCAGGCACCTTGTGTAGATCTGAAATGTGGTGCTAGCCTGCAACTATACAACCAGTTAGTTACTTTTTCAGGTCTACACACAGGGCCTATTAGTACGTATTCAAACGGGATGCTAGTATCCTTAATGCTGGCCTGTAGAAGACAGTCAATAATAATGAAGAAGACACACAAACTTACATTTTATACCCTTATTACACTTTGGATGCTTTGTACAATAGTGCTGAACTTAAGACCTGCTTTTGTCATGCTTGATCTGATATATATAAATGTGTAAATATACTGTATAGTACAGTACGTGTATTATGTGTGTGCATGTTGTGTTTGAATGTGTGTATGGGTGCGCATGTGTGTGTGTGCATGTGTGTGTGATGATGTGCAAAGGTTTGTGTGGTGGAACCTGCACCACACCAACAGTGAGAGGCTCAAATATGGCTTGTGTCAGACATGAAGCGTGCTGCCACCCATAAGAGAGCTCCTACATTTTAGGGCCAAGGAGATTAAAACAGAGCTATAATAGACATGATGTCCCATCCTGGTGCCCGGTCTGAATCACATTGTTAGTCATAATATCAACACGCATGGTTCTGAATCAAACAGTCCATGGCCCTACACTACGACAAACACGTTCGGATTAATTACATCAAGACAAAAACATTAGAAGAAAATGTGCAGAGGGTGAATATGAACAGGAGGCTGTCTAACTGATGAGTGCTACTGGAACAAGACTTGGAAAACAAACTGTGCTGTAAGACGACAAGTTAATTAGTATGACTCTGATGAAGCATGATTATTTTTGAACGGACATAATCCTTATTAGTTTGGTGAACTGAGCAGCTACTCCGTCTCGTTATACCTTCAAAAGCCTCTAAATCCAGCCTCCAAAAGGGTCTGCTCACCAAATTATTCTACAAATTATTCACAGCCATCCTTGACAACCAAACTTAAAAGGTATAGTTTAACATTTGGGAAATATGCTTATTCTCATTCTTGTAGAGAAGACAGAAGATGTTAGATGATGAGATTGATAAATGATTCACGTATGTATGGTCGATATGACGCTGCAGCCAGTAACCATCAGCTCAGCTTAGCATCAAGAGGGTAGAAACAGCTTGCCTGGCTGTGTCCAAATGTAACAAAAAACTAGCCTTTCATGCCTACCAGCACCTCTGTGGTTTTATGGCAGGTTATGTATACAGTCACTTCCTGGAAGAGAGTGGTATAAGTCTTCTCATTTAACGCTTAACACAAAACCAATAGCTGCATTTCCCAAATGTCAACCTATTCTTTTAGATCTGACTTACTCCTGCTGTTACTAAGTCAACACAGTCAGCCCAGCCTTAAAACGTCACACATCAGCAAACACTGAAGGGCTACAGCCTTCTGTTTAGAGCAAACTGATCTAATGTGACATGAAAATTACAGAGTCAACCTTCGCTGTTTCAATGCCTAAGAAATATCCACATACCCAGAGATATCATCAGTGTGGCTCTCAAAGACCTGCTTCCATTTCAACCACACCATCATTCTTGTTCAGAATATGTAGGACTGGGTGGGAAAAGCAATACGAGGAAATCAAAATAATTCCCTGTAAGTTGCTGCTGCAAGTCTGTGGACAGTAAAAGGTTTAAATTACAGCACAGCCAGGAAATTAAATGGAAGCTGGCCATCCTGTGATCTTTTCAACAAGTCAGAAATGAGGGAGCGGAAAGTATGAGACACCCAACAGCCATACAAGCTATGACAGTATTCCAGACTAGTCCTTGTGTATCCGCCGTAACGACACCAAAGAAAAGAAGATGGACCCCCAAACCACACAAAAAGAGTAGGTTAGTGTTAGCTGGACAACAACTTGGGAAATGCCCTGGCAGTCAGATGGATGTCCATTAACAGGTAAACAGGGAGTGGAGGAGGAAGGGGGGGGGACACATGCTTGACCAGGGTTTGTCCACTGGAGAGAGAACTGGTCAAGCTGTGGAGGTATTCTTCATACATACACTTGCAAAAAAAGAAAAAAAAAAAACACAATTATTGATAAGTTCCCATAATCATCCTCCACTTGCAGTTGTCGAGTTATCAGGATGACCATTTCTTTCAGCACTGCCTCGCTCACACACACACACACACACACGCACGCACGCACGCACACAAACTCACACATGTGCACATATTATTCAGGTGTCACAGGTCCATGGAGATATGAATATACACTCAACATACACATTGATGATCCATACATTCACCAACACATCACACTTTAAAATTACATCTGTGTGCCTTTTGGGTCAAAGCACATTGTTCTTTCTTTCTCAATTCATGTGAGTAAACACATTTTAAAGCTGCAATTCACAATCTTTACCATGTTAAAAACTGACATTTGTTTCATCTTAGTTCTTGTTTTTAACATTTTCATCACACTCCACCATACAGATGGATACGGCTAATGAGAGATTATAAAACGTTCTCACCTTTAAAACAGGGAACAAAAGATAGGTTGTGTTGAAAATTAACCTTAAGGTGTGCTGCTTCAAAGACACACAGATGTGGCAAAATTCACACATCCTTTTTAGGTCTATTTCTCACCCATACTTTGCAAACACACTGACATCCTCTTTCTTACTCACACTCATTCACACTCGCGCGCGCGCACACACACGCACACAGTCTCATTCATACAAACGCAGAGAGGCTGTAGTTTGTTTCTCAGGCATGCTGTGCAGCCAGGTCCTGGTTGATGAAGCGCCGTAACCTCTCCAGGTACTGACTGTAAAGCTCAATGTCGTTGTGACCGGCTCCCTCCACCCAGAGGGGCTCCACGGCCTTGGGACAGCGCTCAAACAGGGCAAGACCATGAGAGAAGTCGATCACCTCGTCCTCTGTACCGTGGATGATGAGCACTGGAGATGGGATCTTTGACACCTTCTCGATGCTGGTGGAAAATTTTAAATAATGGAGGTAATTAATGCACTAATAGCACAGGATTTTATAGAAATCAGGCAAGAGATTAAATTTTCCGTCGTTATTGAACAATGACAAATAATGACAATGTGCATTAATTTCAACATGTCTGAGATACAGTGAAGTGACATTACACCGAAAATCTGTCTTAAAATCGTCAAACATTCACTCCTGTTGACTTGAGTTTCTTCTTTGACAAAGAAAAAAACAGCAGATGCAGTCAGCTTTGTTAAGGTACAATAGATTCCAATAATGACAGGTTTTCATTGCTGTCCCTCCAAATGCTAATTATGTTACCAGCAATCACTGTTAAAGTAAAATAGGACTAAATACATGTTATGGGAATACCTGGTGATAAAGTCAATTTTTCAGAAAATTTCACTGTGATTCAATTTGCACATAAAATCACCAGATGGCAGGTTATGTTTTCAAGAATGTAATATCTGACAAAATCATGGTACTTCATAACATTTACAGCAACACAATATGAACACTAAGAAGAGTAGCTGTTGCCAAGGTAACAACCAACAGGGATCAAAATAAAAAATAAAATAAAACAAAATCTTGTATACTCATTTATGCCATAATGCATTGCCCACAGTGGTCTAATATAACCAGACAAAAAAAAGGTGTGAATAAATTGATTTAAGATGGTATGGCAAGATCTTAAACCTCGAGAGGCAGTTAGATTTCCCAGAGGCAAGAAACCATCTTGCCAGGCTCAAAGCTATTCACTTGTGGCCCGAACCACAGTGGTCCAGATAAATCAGCGTCCTACAAGGGAGGAACTACTGACAGCTAAGGGCATGTCTTAGGTATGACGACAGCAAGAAGCAACTGTTTGTTAACAACAATGGCGGCTCCTAAAGAGGTTAGCGTAGATGCTGCTATAGAATCAGTTATATCAGAACTGGAGAGTATTTCTTCATTGAAAGAAAAGTGAAGAACGAAACTGAAAGTTTTTTCTACAGAAAATATGTTTTCGCTCTTTTTCCGAATGGCTACTGCAAGAGTTTGATTTACCAACAGGCTCCACTGGTAGTGAAAAAAATGAGAGGGAAGCAGAATCTGATTGGCTGAAATTAGCCAGTGATAGATGGTTCATCCAATCATCTGCCAGATGTGTTTGGAAAGCACCTGCCCTTTTCCAAACAGTTTCCAACAAAGCCTTCCCAGATGGGAATCAGCGCATCAGGTTAGAAAGATCTCAGATGTTAGACACATTTCTGTGTCATAGTATATACTATATACAGTGAATCTCATTACATAACTAATGAGTATTTGATACAGAAAAGATCTGAAGAAGTCACAAGAAATGTGACTTTAATTTTTTTTTCTAATAATATACTTAAAACATTGACAACACAGAAAATAAAACTAAAATATGTTCTCAGTCAAGAAACTTACTTAGGGAAGGCATCAAAGCAGTATGTTTTCTTGGTGTCAGGGAAGGCCACTCTCATACCAGAGGTGAGAGGAGAGTGGAGGACCACAGCAGCACACTCAAAACGTGATGCCAAGTCTACTGTGGGCACTGTGCCGATGCTCTGTCCGTACAGGATGATATTCTCAGGGCTGATGCCATACCTGAGGACACACACACACACACACACACACACACACACACACACAGACACATACACGCGCGCAGACGCGCACGCACGCACACGCACGCACGCGCACACACACACACACACACACACACACACACACACACACACACACACACACACACACACACACACACACACACAGTTTTCAGTATAAAATGTCAGAAAGAGTCACTTTTATCCTGTAAATACATGACTGTTAAGTGCAAAAGGACTGATGTGCAAGGGTGTAAATTTCCATATGCAGATTATCATGGATAATTGAGCCTGTCAACACATGGGAACAAAAACCTGTGTGTTTCACGTTAACAATGACACTCAAGTTTGAAAGAGAACATCATAAGCAAAGAGTGGGAAGGCTCACTTGCCAAGGACTGCAAAGCCATAAACAAACAAAAATGAAATGTAATAATAATGATTACCAGCCATTTTTGACAAAAATACAACATTTTACCCCAGTTGTTTAAATATTATCTTAACTACAGAATAAAGTGTGAGTAAATTCTGAATATTGTATAACATAAATGTTTGTTGGATTTAAGTCTTAACTTTTCAGTGGCCTCAAATTTCTTCTATGTTGCCATCTGGAAATGCTAAGTTTCTACTTACATAAGACTCATTAACCACACTGGCAACAGATAAAAGAGGAATTTTAGATGCTGCCACTTCATGTAGAACTCAGCATGTGACACCCAATCATCAACCTCTTTGATACAGAGCCATTGTTTAGCTTTGATTTGACTGGCTGATGGTCGGAGAGGATACCATGGTCAGCAGGGAATAAATTTGTATAAAACTGAGTCAACCAAATGTTATTTTCACAAAATGTTACTGGCCGGTGATGTGAGTGACCCTTACTGATTTATCTACTAAAGACACTTTAACTGGCATTTGGTGCTTGTTGGCTGTTAATTTCGGACCCATGGTGGACGGGAACGGAGAGTTTCTGCCAGCTTACCGGGAGCGCAGGGCATGCCAGGCGGCATCAATGTCAGCATAAAGGTTCTTCTCAGAGGGCTTGCCAGTACTAACACCGTAGCCTGAGTAATCATAGGAGAAGATGTTGCAGTTGATGCGTGTGCCTAAGCCAATGTAGAAGCTGCTCATCTGGCCCAGGTCTACTGCATTACCATGAGAAAACAACACTGTAAACCTGAGAGACAAAGGACGAAGAGGCAAGGAAGAAAGAAGAAAGAAGTTAGGCAGCAGGCTGAGGTTAAGCAGGAACACTGCTGAACGGGAAAGCCCTGAGTTGATGGAAAATTGCGGGATATAACTGTATGACTGAGAATAGTATATCTGTAGAAAGGCAGGCTTCCCTGATAAAAGCACAAGCAAAACACAGTCATACAGTGTGTCGTGTCTGTGGAGGAACATTCAGTGTCACTGTGTTCAGGGGTGGCGTGTGTCTCACCTGGCATTGGGGGCACAGCGAATGTACATGCATCCAACCCTGTTCCCTCGGCTGGACCTGGTCAGGAATACATCTGTCACATCCAGCTCTCTCTGCGAATACTGGAACTCTGCTCTCTCAGTGAGGTGCAGCTTCCACCTGCCTTCACTTCCACCTCCACTTCCACTGCCGCCACCACTGCTGCTGCTGCTGCCGCCACCGCCGCCGCCACCACCGCCGCCGCCACTGCCGCCACCACCTCCTCCTCCTCCTCCTCCTCCAGCACTGCCACCTCCACCTCCTCTGTCACCTCCACTACCAGTGCCCAGTCGAGAACGCAGTCCTGGGGCTCCAAGCGATGGCAGGGCAGCTCCAGAGCTAGATCCAGGTGCAGTTCCAGCTCCAGAACCTGGATCTGGGTCAGGGAGAAGGGCATAGGTGGGCTCTGGAGGCAGGAAAGCCAGTTTGGCTGCAATGCGACTGGGGCAAGGAGGGCAGCAGAACAGGCAGCATAGCTCTCGTATGGAAAGACCGTTCATCTTCTGGTAGAAAAATAAACATGGGAGAGAGAGTAAGTCGGTTGCGGAAAAACATAATAAGAACAGGACTTGCACCTTTAATTCACAGCAGGGTTTCCCACTTGTTTTTTTTTTTCACTTTTAGTCAGAGGGAATTATTACATTTTAAATATAATATTATGCTTATCAATCTTAAGGGAAAACAAGCAGTGGACACCTAAAAAAAGAGTGCTAAAAAAAGTCACCTAATAACTACATTGAAAAATAGATGAAATGCATCATGATCTGCAGATTCATTTCATCAGGTGATTGATTGATCAATCAAATCTTATGTTCACTTTGCAGTAATTAATCAGAGGAGAAATTTGCTAAGACTTACAAGTTAGAAAAAGTAGAAATAAAAAGATCTTACCACTTCCCCTAACAAGTCTCCTGGAAGAAATCCTGCACAGAAATTCTGTTGTGAACGTACCTGGATTCAGAAATCCCTGGGTCTCGAAATGAACTGGCACACAATGGTGCCAAGGTCTTCTGCTCTAGTCACTGAGCCAGCTGGATTTGAGTTAAAAAGAAAAGATAACATTAAAATGGTTTGTAATCATGAGACAATAAACTGTATATGGCAATATATAGTCACAATGGCATGACCACTTAGCTGCCCTAGTCTTTTAATGTTGCTCTTTCTAGGGCTTTTGAGTGACAGATAATAAATATTAGGAAGCTTTGTAACATATAGCATTTGGAACCAAACAAATTACATAGACATTCAGCAAAAGGTAAATAGTAACCTGGCATCACAGCTATGAGGAAGCGATAACCTTGATTCAAAGATTATAAACAACACGGACTCATTAAAAAGGTTAAACGCCAGTTGCTAGTGCCATCATTGCACAGCTCCTGTAACGAAAGAGCATTTATTTTGGTAAAAGTTATATACCTAATCCATGTATTGAGGCTGCTGTAGTCTTACTGCGGGATTAAAGTGATTCAGATGCCCTGATGTGATCGTGGACACTGGTGACTAATTACAACACCCCCTCAACACAGAGAGCGACTGATGTGCTAATGTAGCTACATGGTTAACAACGATATTAACCTCTAATGTTAGCCAGTGATGAAGGGGATATTACGGGAGCGGTATGTTGGTTTAGCATACCGACACCTGGGAATGTAGATAACCGACGTATTGCATCGATTGACAGATAATAGCCACTGTGCTGCTTTATGACAGCTAACAGTCAAAATATCATCACTTATCGTTAGCAAAGCAACCAGCTAGCGGCGGCGGCTAGCTCGCTAGCATGATAGCCTCAAAGCTAGCTACTTACCAATTCACAGTATGTCGGCAGGCAGGCTGGTGTGCCCCTATATGTACACAGAAGCAGCACAAGACTTCGACAATCCTTCTTGTGTCTTGACATGGATGGTTTTACTCAAGTGTACTGACAACTGTCGGTGGCTAGCTAGCTGAAATTCATGGCAACCAGATATTTTTTTCTACTACTGTCCGACTATAGCCGGAAGTGACGTAAGGTCGTTGTCCTTTTTCAAAACTTCAAAAAATGTGCCAGAGAATAATTGATTATCATCACATTTATATCGCATATATCTACGGATATCAAAATAATGAGGAAAAATCTATACAGGGTTATGTATGAATTATTTTTAAGATAAGATGGCAATAGTAGTAAATTCAGTTGATAGGATCCTGTCATAAAACATGATACATAACATAGCGCACTCAAATATAATAGAAAAAATATAAAATGAAATAAAACACGAACAAGAACAAATGAAAAAGCAAAAAAAACGTAAAGCACATATTCAAACCAACATGGAAATTTGAGTAACAATTAAAACTATAGAGCGTGTAACACAAACAAGATGTTTTTAGTTTACGTTTACTCTAGTCTGTATATTTAAAAACTTCAAAGATGGAACAAGATCATTTATGGGTTGTCTCAGTTATAATGGTCCTGCACTTAAAATATTAATTAAAAGCACATTAGTATTATCAGCAAAATGTTTTTGTATGTATCAAAAGTAAAGCTACTCATTATGCAGTAGAATTGACCTTTTTGGTTTGGTTTGGTTTGATAAAGATTAGTATCTTATTGGATTTATACTATTGATGGATTAACATTTAAACAACATTTTTATGATGCAGCAGCTCCAGTGGGAGATAGTTGTAATAGCGTAAGGTTGTCTATAATAATGCATCATATTCTAGAAGCAGTCTGTATCTTCCATGCATTATTATATCTTTACTTACTGCCTCTAAATCATCTGCCTGCCCACCCTAATCTCTCAGACTTGAAAAACAGATCCATCACACACTTTTTACTCATGATAGCAAATGACACTGATTACCCCCTCATCACATTACTGCTGTTTGGTCGTAGATACAGAACTTTAACATGGAGAGGAGCTCACTTATTGTCCCTTGAGCCAGTGCAGCCCCAAAAATATATCATATCCTATTTGATAATTTGTCTAAATTGGTGTGGGTGCATGTCTTTATCTTCAAAATATCTTTGTACTCTATTGTAAGATATAAAGTAAGTATATTGTTATACTATATTGTTATAGTATTTTATAGTCTACTACGTTATGAATACATGCATTATTCTCCAATGAAGCTTCATGTTATGTTTTTAGTCACAACTTTCCTGAACATCATCAAACACGTATTTGTGTGTGTGTGTGTGTGTGTGTGTGTGTGTGTGTGTGTGTGTGTGTGTGTGTGTGTGTGTGAGAGAGAGAGAGAGAGAGAGAGAGAGAGAGAGAGAGAGGGGGAGAGAGAGAGAGAGAGAGAGAGAGAGAGAGAGGTCCTCCATTCATCATTGATCCACTGCAGGACTGTGTTTCAGGGGGTGTGAATTATGGGCCCCTGCTGTCACTGTGCCTGCTCTACGTTGGACATTTCACCTCGCCACTGTAAATTCAAAAAGGGGATTACGTTTTGCTGACTGCTGGTTTCAAGCCGTAGCTTGACCAAGTGCAGACAACTGGCCGGTCCCCCCTGGCAGAAGACTTAATACAGTCCGCAATTGCAGGATCTGGGATTTTGCAAGGGTCTGCTCTGAACAAGGCTGTCGGGAAAGAGAACGTAATCTGGATCAGAGAAAATCCTAACAGGTTCCTGTTTACACCTTTAGACAACGGACTCTTTCTCTCCAGGGAAAAAAAAAACGTTTTGTAGTTGACTGGGCGTTTTGGACGCGCTCGGTAAACGGTGATGCTACGGCGACGCGCAGGAACCGTAGAGGGAAGAGACAGGTGAGGTGCGGCTGAGGAGCTGCTGTTATTTCAGAGAGGCTTTGGACACGGAGAGCCGTGGTATCCATCACCCTTTTCTCCACAGAGAGGAAGAAAAGCGACCGGAGAGGGCGAGTTGGCGACTGGCACCTGCCTCAGCCTCCCTATACCTGGCCATCTGGTGCGGTGAGTGTGCCAAATGGTGGGATTGAGAGATGGATAGGGTATGTGTGGGGGAGACGAGGGCGGGGGGTATGGGGTGGCAGGGATGGGGTGAACAGGTATATACAGCATGTGCGCAATTTTATTATTACCACCAAACGCGATGCTGCATTATCACTCCTCCGGGTTAACCAATAGATGTCTGCTTGGCATCGTCTGGACCTTTGTGGACATGAACTGCTCTTTGTGTCTGCTGCAAGTTTGATGTTTAATTTGCATATCATGAGCACATCTTTGTTGCATATCATTGTTCTTTCACGTGTTGCATACGATCTTACAGTGTTTTTGACACGTAGGTTTGAAGTGATGTCTCAGCAAAAAAAAAAAAAAAAAAAAAAAAAAAGCTGGCAATACTTATACATTGTAACACTGCATTGCAAGGACGAGCACAAAGCCTGATTGAAATTCTTATTGGGATCAAGACCCGGATCATAGGTCGTGATCTAAATGCTTTAAAATGTCATATTTAATTGCCCCCCTGTGCAAACTAATAACGTGTTATATTAAATGTTTGCTTAAGGTTTCCTGTTAACAAGAGTAAAGGTCAGATGTGATGATTTGGAAGCCATAAAGTCAATTGATTATGTCATTAATCACTCACAGTAGAGTAACAGGAGTGGCATGATACATGCACACAGCAGGCTTGTATTGGTATGTAGAGAAAAGTCCAAATACAGACAAAGAAATATAGTTATTAGTAATTTATAAGACCGACTGACTTTAGAAAACTGAGGATTACTCAGATGAATATTCTAAAATACAGGTTACCCATTGTCCAAAATGTGTCCTGTATGGCTACACTTACAATAACTTGCTACCTCAATTGCCCATAACCACAGTGCACACTCTCAACCTCTATGGCACAAGTTAAATGCTCACTCACTGCCGTCTAAGCTCTTGCTAAGGTGATTTAGTAGATATATGTAATTTATTGTTAACAACTTCATCCTTCACACTAAAAGCCATCGAGTTCCGCAGGAGGACTATAACAGCTCCCAGCTGCTACTGTTGATGTTTGTGTTTTTGTGCGAGTCGAAAGGCAAAAAAAAGAGGTGGTTTGAGTCGCAAAAAAATAAAAGGAGAAAATGAAGAGACAGAAACACAGACAGACAGACAGATTGGGGGATACAAAGGATAAAGTGTGGCAGATAGCAATCTGGCATAAAGGCTACAGGGGGATAGGCAGAGGATGTAAATGGCAGAAAAAGAAATGATGGAGCAGAGAGCACAGAGTGAACGAGCGTTGAGGGAGAGGGGCTGCAGACAGCAGTCTGAGCGGGTGTGAATGGTCTCCCTGTTATCCCCGCTGCCCACACAGACAGCCACACAGCAGCCGTGTGAGCAGGTGCTGACCCCACCACACAGCAACCGCAGGGAACAACAGGTGCAGCCACTGTTTCCTTCAGCCTCCCTTTGGAAGGCAGTCTAACACCCGCCCATCCCAAACATACAGCTATACCAAGGCCTTCTAACACCAAAACACCCACAGCTCATACTGAAGCGAAACAAATGGATGCTTCAGCGTACATTTAGGGAAATAGCAAGCAAATCCCAGGCTTGAGTAATTCCATTATAAAATTAATTATGCTGCAAACAAAGTTGGAACCACTTGAAGCAATAAGGCAGAGCAGACTGCAGGTAAAAGCAATCTATGAGAGGGCCTAAGGGTGACACAACTGCCCACAGGGACATTTAATGAGCTCTATTGATCACATAGGACCGTATTCAATCACACATGCTAAGCCGCAAACAGAGCACCTCCAGCACGAAAAAAAAATGAGTCTGGATTGCAGCATTATACAGCCTGCCCACAAAGAGAGTAAATCAACAGCAGATTAGTGTGTTGGGGTTGCTAAGGAGCACGTTTCTAGAAATGTGTAGAATGACAGTCAGAGATGAGGTGTGTGTGTGTTTGTGTGTGCTGAACGGAGTCAGATGAAACAGACAGAAGATGTTGGAAGGAGAGAGATGTTACCTAACAGCTTCTCTGCTCCTATCACCAGGAGAATACGTCAAGCAATTGGCGACAAATTGCCTCTCTTTACCTCTGGTACACAGAGAGGAACATTGACTGATTCAAACACTCCTGGTTCCTAACTCTGCCGGGCTCTAATCTGCCTATAAACCTGCACTTTTCTATTCCTACTCTATATCAGCCAACAGGAGTGACTTGTTTCCTTCCACCAAAACTGAGCTGATTTTAAACCCAGGACACGGTTTCAAAGCTAGCAAAAGATTTTTATTTAAATAACAGAATGTTTCTTGTAATTTTTAACCTATATTCAATGTCGATTTCCATGTTTCACAGAGTCTGGAGAAACCCCCCCAAGCACTGCCCTGCCTATACATAAGGGAATGTCGATTTATGCTCTTTTAGTGTTTAGATAAACTTTAATTAACTTCCAAAAGTTGCTGTATCAACTCCCATCTGCCCTAACAGTAACCAACCCTATCTGTGCCAGAAAGTAGACAGGATTATCCACTAATCCGATCATAAAGTAAAGCAAAGTTATGACTAGGAATGCTTATTTTCCTCGAAAGCAGCCAGATACAGTATCTTTTGAGATTCCAGTTTCACACAGAGCGCAGCGTTTATCGGTTCGGTGGGATTCTTTAGAACAAAATCAACACTTGAAAGGGGTGTTAGAGTCCACAGACCCCAGGGCAATAAGATCAGAAGGACCTAGCTGGGGAGGCATCTGCTGGGTGACCTCCCTCCAATGGGGTACTCAGAGTGTGGACATTACGGAGTCATTCTGCAGGATTAGGGAGGCCAGAGGTTCAGGCGTCCCGCAGGCATACTTTCTTTACTTGTCAGAAACTAGCTCTTATCCCAAGACAGGTATTTAAAATAAACTCCCTCATGCAAAACATTCTCTGTGTTGATGTGAGAGGCTTTCAGGAGCCTAACAGGGTCTTTCAGACAAGCCCTTCCAGATGTTTGAAAAGGAGAGAATCAACATGATTTGGTGCCACACAAGCTGAGGAGCTTTACCTATTGCAAACTGTGCT